GAGGGGGGGGGGGGGGTTGGTACGGAAGAGAAACGAGTGGCTGAGATTCGCCGAGAGTATGACGTGTCGAGACCTTAGGCCACTTCCTGTCTGATGGAGAACTGGTCGTCGATTTGACTTGCTGTGCATTCTCAGCCGTCCGATGTGTCATTTTCGGTTCCGTCTGTGCGCAGATGCGTCATTAAGGATATTCACCCCCCCCCTTTATTTTCCACTTATCCTTGGGATTTTTTTTAGTGATTATATTATTACATCTGATTAATTTGCAGGATATTTATTTAACATATTTTTCAAATAGTTGATCCACGAAATTATATTTATAGTACCAATAGACCATATATCACATTCATATATATATATATATGATCCTAAAGGCCAATTATTCGAACAATATCCATATATACTTTATCTTAAAGGCATAAAAATATGCAAAATTTGTTTACGAGACAAAAATAAATTATATGTAAATCTTATATATGTATATGTGTCCTATATATTTTCCTTCGTATAATCAAGACCGCAAGCCTGCAAAAAACAAATTCTACAAATGTATATAACTTACGTAAATTTTAGATCTTACAATCAACCAAAGTAATTTACAAAAAAAATGGCTCTACACATAATAATTAATTTGTAGAAAACCATGATGACATATAAATATAGATTATTCGCTGTAAAAATTAAAATTTATCATTTTTTTCACCGTACAAGTTGTTAATAAAGGATTTCTCGAAAATAAGTTATTTGGTAAATTGTGAATTTTTAATAAGATTGACTGCGAGTCAATGAAGTGCAGTACATGCAAAGTGGTAGGGAACTTATGTCCTGTCTGTTCAACCCTTTCTACATAATAATATCAAATCAAAATGTCCCTTTATGTTTAGTTTTTTTTTTTAAATCTTTCAAATTCAAATGCCAATTTCTTTCATCGTTTTCTACAATTTAAATATTTGGTCTGTCTTGTTTGTACGGTAATTTTGTCTTCTTTAAGAATTATTACACATATATATATATATATATATATATTATTCGGGGGTATGATATATGTATATTTTGAATAAATAGATTATATAAATTATGTAAGTGTAATTTTACATCTAGAGCAACATGGTCAATGGTTTGAGAAAGGATATCTTATGAGATAATCGAGTACGGTCGACTATTGTCGTGATGTTTGCAAGTCGTGTAAATGATTAAGGTTACAAAAATAAGCAACTAATTTCGTGTCAACTTTGAAGACCGTGAAAAGTTATTATTTTAATTTTTTAAAATAAACAAACGTAAATAGTTATTATAAATTAAAATCAGCAGATTTAGACGGAAAAGGACAAAGGTTTGGGTTAATTGTCAGATTCTGCTTCTTTTAATTATATTCGTATATTGCCGTTTTCTAGATTCTGGGTTTCCTTAACACAAAGATCGTTGGTGTTTTACCGTCGGTTGGGTAGAATATATAATTTGATTGGAAACTTAATGTAGTATATTTTTTTAAATCATATTAATTGAATCGATTATAAAAGAGTATAATTTTTTTATTGTATTCGGGTGGTGGTCAGTTCGTCTCCGTTTGTAAGGGTAGGTAATCACGGGGTTCCCAATGTATCAAAAAAAAGAGTAAAATTTTTTAAAAGTGAAATATACGAATTAGAAAATAACCGATGCTAAATCTGAAATGTTCCCTTACATATTATTTTACATTTGTTTTTATTTTTTTTATTTTATTTTTGTAATGTAGTGGATTAATGTTTGTGCTTAGACGTTTTTAACGTATCAAAAATACTCGAGAGCTTTCGGAACCAAAAAACAAAAATATCTGCGAAGCTAAACCCAAACGCTATCGCCTTTTATGGCTCACTTTATTTTTCCATTTTTTTATTCTTTAAAAATAACTAAAATTTTAAAGAAAGAAAAAAAAATCCTTCGTTATGAAACAGTAAACTGTTTGTGATTTGTAATCGGTGATAAAAAAAAACAGCAACAATTGGAAAAAAAAATGTTTTTTATCGAAAACCATAATAGGAAAATAAGTGGTTGCAGTCCGTCCGGTAACATTTTACCTATTTTTTTTTATTATATTCGTCCAAACAAAAGATTTTATTTTATTATTGAAGGGTTTCAACTTTTTTCTCAGGAAAAGTATTTACGTTCGTTTCTTTTCACCAAAAAAATTACGTTCTTTTACGAATGTGAAAACTCAAATTGCACACCAAAAAACGATTCTTTAAAAGATAATTAGAGAAATAAAGCAGTAAAAAAATTCGAGAAGCAAAAGGACAAGGCAAATAAATACTGAGGTTTGTTGCTTGTACATATATATATATATGTAAGCATTGTTTTTCTTCTACAAATAGACAGCTACATTCACACATATATATATATATATATATATAGTTGAAGATCAGCTGTTCAACCTCAACCCTAGAGACCATAATTTGAAGATAAAATTCCAAATGTGCAGATGCCAAATTTGACCTAAACCCCCCACTCTAAACCCTAAATGTTTTCCCTATAGAAACTTCATTTTTTTTATTTTTATTTTTTGAAATTCAAAAACTGTAAATTTAAACTAAAAGCTTAGCAATGCTCCTAGAACTTTGCTAATATATAAAAAAAAAAAACTAAGGTTGGCATCTGCACATGGAAGGGGTAAAAAAAGAGTTTTTTTTTTAATTATTCATTTTTCACCGGAGTTAGCTTAACTTACGGCCGGAGGGAACTGCTCTAACGCTTACGCTTGGTCCCGGAGCTTCCTTCTCCATCTCCCTTGGCCTTGGCCTCGGCCTCGAGTTTCGCCTTCAGGTTCTTAATTGCTGCTGGGGATTTCTTCAGTAAGGTCGCCAGTGGCTTGTCATCATCATCATCATCATCATCAGATGATGGTGATGATGATGCATGCTCATGTTTGCCATGATCTTTTGTGTTCTTCTTCTTGTTGGTGGCCTTTGACGAAGACGGTCTCGACTTCTTCTTCTGGTCATCATCCTCGGATTTGGATCTCCGGGTCAGACGTGAAGCAGCTGCGACCATCTTGCCACCGACGTTTTTGGAGCTCTTGTCTGTGGACTTGCTGTTTCCGGCATTCGAGGAGGTTTCTTCCCCCTCTTTGCCTTCCACAGCCTTTTTACAGGCTTTCTCCTCCTCCTCCTTCTCAGCATCCTTCGATTTCTTACCAGATTTTGTTGCAGACTTTCTGCAAATGCAAATGCTATAGTTAAAGTGTGCTATATACTCGTATGATTTCCCTCAACAACTTAAACGGACCACAAAAGATGAACAGCAGCAATAAATTGTATATATATGTATGTATGTATGTATGGATACATACACAACCAACCTTTTTGCGGATGATTTGGCCATTCCTTTCTTCACTGACTTCCTGCTAGTTTTCTCCTCCTTTCGGCTCGTCTTTGCCTTCTTCTCAGCCCTGTCAAGATATTGTCACATAACATACGAATACAGTCCGACCTTGGAACCATCTTGGATACATATGCAGAGACCAATTTAGAAACTCTAGTTCATAAATTATTCAGACATGTTCCAAGGAAAAACTTACGGTTCAGGGGTAGTGTCTTTGCCAGCTTCCTTCTAGAGAGAGAAAAGAAAGAGAAAATATGGGATTATAAAAAAAGCCACGAAGAACGTGAGAATTAAGGAAGGATGGTAGCGTATTCAAATCGGATGAACCACCTCATCTGCTGTAGCAGCATCCTCATCTTCAATGAACTCCCATTTCTCCTTCCTCATATACAACTGTTCTTTGTCTCCATCGTCATACACAACCTATATAAATGAACAACAACGTGAACATCTTAGGTTCCATAACCAGAATTCAAATGATGAAATAAATGTTCTTTCTTTAAATTTCCCAACCTTCCTTTCATGAACATGCAAATACTTTTGCTGAATCGACAACCATAAAATATCTTGCAGCAAATTACTTCGTTACAGCCCAAGACAGAACAGAAGCAAATTAGAGAACCATACTTTCATTCTTCGGTTTATTCAGCAAAAACCAATTTTAGGTCCTAAAAATACTTTCTAATTCCCAAGGATTACGTCTTACCCGGTGTTTCCTTTGAGCAGAGTTATATGAATCAACGACTCCTTGATAAAATCTGCAGAAACAGGATCGATGCGCAGGTAAGATATGTCACCATTACCAGAAACGTTTAAGACAACCCTCAAGGTAAGAAAGAATTGAGTAACTCACTTCCGGTCCGCGGGCCACCAGACTCTAATCCTCGCCCCAACTAAGTCTTCACCGTACTGATCATCATCCTGAGTCCAAAAAAGAAGCAGATTAACGATAAAAACAAAGTTTTTTTTTAATGCAAATATCATAACGGTAAACATAGAGAATGAGAGGGAACCACACAAACATGAACACGTGATTAAAGTTTGACAGGACTGAAACCATGTAAATTCCAAGACTGTATACCTTATCTTTTCCCGAAGATGCTGCAGCCTTTTCCTTAGCAGGTGTACGCTTCCTCTTTGAAGAATTTGACTTTGGCATATCCCCTACTTGAGCAGTAGCCTTTGGTGATGTCACCATTTCCTGGTACCAGCCACAGAAGATAGGGAATGAGTAAAAAAAAAACTCACAAGCAGCAATACAGGAATAATTCTGGTGATTATATCGAAATCCAGAAAGAGCATACAGTTTCGTCATTTTGGGCAGACGTTTTTGGTGAATCCTGTCCACGAGAAACCCTTCTTCGGCTCGATTTCTTCCTCCGCCTCAGAGATCCTGAGTCAGAGTATCTGACCACCCTTTTACGAAATCGCTTCTGTGGCAATGGCTCGGAGTCAGTAGGAAGATCCTCCTCGTTCTCATCTACATCCCCTAAAGTTTCAGATTTAGTCTCAGGCTCAGGAGTCTGCTTGGCATTCTTGACTTGGCTCGCAGCCTTTTCCTCCTCATTATTCATATCGTTCCCATTGTCCCAGGCCACAGCTAATTCGGCAGATGGGTTTTCATTGGTCGAGCCGAGCAAATCATTGCCATGATCTTCCTCAATCGGCAGATCAGCAGCAGGAAGAGAAGTCTTATAAAGTTCTGCATGTTCAGTTCCGAGGCTATTGGTCTCAGCATTGCTGAATCTATCAGCATCATTAGGCAAATCAGTTTGGCCATTGCGTTCCTTACTTTCTGTTGAGCCTGAATCAACCAAGATTTTGTTGCTGATTTCTGACTTGGGAGATTTGTCATTGAGCATGTCGGCGTCTGCTTGAGTTGTTTCGGTCGGAATCACTTTCTCTATCTGATTTGTTTATTTAAAAGCAAAATTGTTTTATCAATAATCACATTAAGGAAAGTAACAGAAGAAATGACAGTACACAACACTTATTGCATATATGATCAAGATCTACTTTAGTTTTATATCATTTCTGCTCATATTGGGTACACCTCATCAGTAATCTGGTAAATGAAAGATGGGGTTATGAGAAGCTTACGACTTTCTCCTCAGTGGGACAGTCATCACCACGGCACATGGTCGTAACGACATCATTGTAATCATCCAGGGAATCACCCAGAGTTTCGATTGCTTTTAAGAGGCAAGGCTTCACCTTGCTAGCGCAATTACTGAGCACGTCCTCTGCCAGCTTTTGAGCTATTGGCAGGGCCCCCTGAGAATTCATTATCAGTGTGTTAGCATAAGACAAATGAGGAAACGAGGAGGATTTTTTTTTTTACCTTGTTTTCTTGTCGAAGACGAGCCAAGATAGGAGAAAGAATCTGTGGAGATATATCCTCGCTTTCTTCCAACACAAGGGTTATGATGGAGTTCATGGAGGAGGAGACAACTTCAGGGTGATAGTCCCTGGAAAATCAAACCACTAATGTCAGAAACTCACTCACAAATGCACAACATAATGCAGAAGTTGTAACGGGGCTTCATTAATCTCAGAAACAAGCAAGCTCGCACCTCAAGGCCAAGAAGAAATGATTGAACATCTCAATGACAAGTGAATCACATTCGAGATCCAGTATGAGAACAGGTAATCGGATTCTTGCTGTATTCTCAAGAATTGTGATCCTCTTATCGTAAGAAAGACTCGACTTATCATCGAGCCTCTCGAATGTCGATACAATCAACTGTAGGATCTCCTGCAAACAAATTAAAGAAGATCAAATCAGAGATCAAAGGAATTGGGCAAAAGCTAATACCATAAACATGTAGAAGGAATTAGGCAAAAGTATTATCACAGCTCAGTATACCTTCATCTCTTCATCGTTGTAAGGAGCATCAGGTGCAGTTATTCTGATTATCTGACTAAGGCAAGACGCAACTGAAACTCTCACATCCTCATCAGAGTTCCTTAAGATCTTGTGAGCTGCTAATGCCTTGAGCACCAACGACGTTGAGACATTTAAAGGACCTTTCGGGGATTGTTCCACTTGCGACAGTAACTTCTCAATTTGCTGTATAAACCCATCAAACAATTACTTAATAAGTTTACACAGAGAAAACACATTAATAATGCAAATTACACAAGATATGACATATGAAGATTAATTGGTATATGAAAATGTATCTTAAAATTATTGATCTTCTTTGCTTGGAGAAGACACCAGATTGGTAACTTTGCCCAATTTCGACGTCTTTCAAGAATCAGGATCCAAACAGCACAACAAGAAGTACATGAATCAAGTAGTTGTGATTCTATCTTCGTTTTCTGAGCTATCGGTAATAAATACATACCAAGTTGTAAATATCATGCGGTTAATGTCCATTCCATTTAGGAAAATATTTTATCGAGGCTAAAAGTAACATAGTACAATGTGATATGTAATGTTAAATTCAATATATTTGTCACAGGACATAGATTTTTTTTTAAAAAAAAAAAAGATAACAAACGATGAACATTTAAGTTTCACGTGCAAACCACGCAATAAACGGTCAAATTTTGAGCGCAAAAGCACGCAACGAACGTTCAAATTTCGCGCGTACAACCACGCAAAGGATATTCAAATTTCGGGCATAAACGAATGAACGAATACTTAAATTTCACCTGCAAAACTACCCAATACGCATTAAATTTCGCACACAAACGAATTAAAAACACGCGATCTTGTCTTTCTAACCACGAGTAGAAAACAGTTTGTATTTCGTAGGCACGACATATCTTAGCATTATATGTACAAAATTGGATCAAATGAAAACAGCAACCGTTGCAAGACAACAAAGGTCCATGTAATAAAATGATCAGGTACAGAGATAGATTCTTAAAATTAATTGCTCAAAAACAAAATTTATAGCATATCCCCACAAAATCCAAGTATGGTTAAATAGTTTACACCCCCAAAATCAGACATTCATCATACAGAACACATCAAATTCAAACCGAACCACAATCATCCACGAATTCATCACGTTGAATCTAATTACGCACAAGAACACATAACGCAGAACATAACATCATCATAACCGTTGAGAAAAATTTTAATTTCGAGAAAATACGACGCATTCAACAAAAGATTAACCAAACAGTCGCAAAAAGAAGCATGCACGAAATATTTCGACAAACACATAGAAACAACAACGATCAAAACGTCAAAACAGACGAAAGTTCGTGAGAGTGAAACAAAAAAACACGAAGAGGGACGGAGGGGGGGAAGAGAATCTCACGTTGAGGAGGGAGATGAGTTCGTTGACATCAGAGAGGGGATCAGAGACCTTGTCTCCGACTATCCTCAACTCCTGGTCAAGCTTCTAATTAGTCATCGTCATGACTAAGGACATACACTCACTTCACTCAAGAATTCTTTTGCGGCTGCCTAAATTTTCGATTTTAGAACATTGTAATGCTAGCAGACAACGACGCAGCTATAAATTGACAAAAAATCTCCAATTTTGGTAAGCAATTGAGGTGGATAAAGATGAAATTATGTCTTTTTCAGAGCGCAGTAGTTTTTTCCTCAAATTTCTTGATTTTTCCCTCTATTTTTCCATACGTGAAAAATACTTTGTATTTATATTTTCTTCGATAACAATGAAGGATAAAACTGTAATTAATACGAAGACCGAGTTCATTTATCTTGTGAGCTTTTAAGGAGAATCCAGCTTAGCTCTTTCTTGGTTGCTTTCGGATTTTCTCCCGTTTTGGACATTTATTGAATAAAAGATTAACCAAACAGTCGCAAAAAGAAGCATGCACGAATTATTTCGACAAACCGGAGAAACATCAACGATCAAAACGTCAAAACAGACGAAAGATCACGAGAGTGAAGCAAAAAAATATGAAGAGGGACGGGGGGAGAGAGAATCTCACGTTGAGGAGGGAGATGATTTCGTTGACATCAGAGGGGGGGATAAGAGACCTTGTCTCCGATCACCCTCAACTCCTGGTCAAGCTTCTCATTAGTCATCGCTATGGCTAAGGACCATAGACGGATCTACGTTACAAGGAGTGGGGTCACTTGCCCCGCTGTTTTTTTTTTCTTTTAAAAATATCAATTTGTAAATTTACTAAAATTTTAACGAAAATGTGTTAATGCCCCGCCGAATTTTGTGGTCGACCCCATAACATTTGAATTTTTTTTATGTATTTTGGGTTATTGTCTCTATATATCTAATTAAAAAAAATGTTAAATTTTCTAAAACTTTTTGTAAAATTACATAGAAAAACGTTAAATTGCCCTCATATAAGTAAAGTTTGTCTTTAAAATTAAATGCATAAAATTTTGCCCTCATTTATAATATTCTCTAGATCCGCCACTACTTTATAAATTCTCTAGATCCGCCACTACTAAGGAAACATATTCACTTGACTCAATAATTCTTTTGCAATTGTCTAAATTTTGGATTTCAGAACATTGTAAATTTGTAACCCTAGCAGACAACGACGCGACTATAAATTGACAAAAAATCTCCAATTTTGGTAAGCAACTAATGTGGATAAAGATGAAATTATGCATTTTTCATCAGGAGAGGAGAGCGTAGTAGTTTTTTCCTCAAATTTCTTGATTTGTTTCCTCTATTTTTCCATATGCGAAAAAAACTTTGTATTTATATTTATTCGATAACAACGAAGGATAAAACCGTAATTAATACGAAGATCGAGTAATTTATCTCGTGAGCTTTTAAGGAGAATCCAACTTAGCTCTTCCCTGGTTGCTTTCGGATTCTCTCCAGTTTTGAACATTTACAATGAAGGATAAAACTGTAATTAATACGAAGACCGAGTTCATTTATCTTGTGAGCTTTTAAGGAGAATCCAGCTTAGCTCTTTCTTGGTTGCTTTCGGATTTTCTCCCGTTTTGGACATTTATTGAATAAAAGATTAACCAAACAGTCGCAAAAAGAAGCATGCACGAATTATTTCGACAAACATGGAAAAACAACAACGATCAAAATGTCAAAACAGATGAAAGATCACGAAAATGAAGCAAAAAATCACGAACAGGGACCGGGGGAAGAGAATCTCACGTTGAGTAGGGAGATGAGTTCGTTGACATCAGAGGGGGGATCAGAGACCTTGTCTCCGACCAACCTCAACTCCTGGTCAAGCTTCTCATTAGTCATCGGCATGGCTAACGACACACACTCACTTCACTCAAGAATTCTTTTGCGGCTACCTAAATTTTAGATTTCAGAACATTGTAACCCTAGCAGACAACGACGCAACTATAAATTGACAAAAAAATCTCCAATTTTGGTAAGCAACTGAGGTGGATAAAGATGAAATTAGGACTTTTTCATCCGGAGAGGAGAACGCAGTGGTTTTTTCCTTAAATTTCTTGATTTGTTTTTCTCTATTTTTCCATATACGAAAAATACTTTGTATTTATATTTTCTTTGATAACAACGAAGGATAAAACCGTAATTAATATGAACACCGAGGTCATTTATCTCATAAGCTTTTATGGAGAATCCAGCTTAGCTCTTCCCTGGTCGCTTTCGGATTCCCTCCAGTTTTGGACATTTATTGAATAAAAGATTAACCAAACAGTCGCAAAAAGAAGCATGCATGAATTATTTCGACAAACAAGGAGAAACAACAACGATCAAAACGTCAAAACAGACGAAAGACCACGAGAGTGAAGCAAAAAAATACGAAGAAAGATAGGGGGAAGAGAATCTCACGTTGAGGAGGGAGATGAGTTCGTTGACATCAGAGGGGGGATCAGAGACCTTGTCTCCGACCACCCTCAACTCCTGGTCAAGCTTCTCATTAGTCATTGCCATGGCTAACGACACACACTCAGTACACTCAAGAATTCTTTTGTAGCTGCCTAAATTTTTTATTTCAGAACATTGTAACCCTAACAGACAACAACGTGGCTATAAATTGACAACAAATCTCCAATTTTGGTAAACAACTGAGGTGGATAAAGATGAAATTAGGACTGAACGCAGTGGTTTTTTCCTTAAATTTCTTGATTTTTTCTCTATTTTTCCATATGCGAAAAATACTTTGTATTTATATTTTCTTCGATAACAACGAAGGATAAAACCGTAATTAATATGAACACCGATGTCATTTATCTCATAAGCTTTTATGGAGAATCCAGTTTAGCTCTTCCCTGGTCGCTTTCGGATTCCCTCCAGTTTTGGATATTTATTGAATAAAATATTAACCAAACAGTCGCAAAAAGAAGCATGCACGAATTATTTCGACAAATAAGGAGAAACAACAACGATCAAAACGTCAAAACAGACGAAAGATCATGAGAGTGAAGCAAAAAAACACGAAGAAAGATGGGGAAAGAGAATCTCACGTTGAGGAGGGAGATGAGTTCGTTGACATCAGAGGGGGGATCAGAGACCTTGTCTCCGACCACTCTCAACTCCTGGTCAAGCTTCTCATTAGTCATCGCCATGGCTAACGACACACACTCAGTTCACTCAAGAATTCTTTTGCGGCTGCCTAAATTTTTTATTTCAGAACATTGTAACCCTAGCAGACAACAACGTGGCTATAAATTGACAACAAATCTCCAATTTTGGTAAACAACTGAGGTGGATAAAGAATAAAGATGAAATTATGGTTTTTTCAGCAAGAGAGGAAAGCGCAGTGGTTTTTCCTCAAATTTCTTGATTTTTTTCCTCTGTTTTTCCATACACGAAAAAATACTTTGTATTTATATTTTTTTTCGATAACAACGAAAGATAAAACTGTAATTAATACGAAGACCGAGGCCATTTATCTTGTGAGCTTCTAAGGAAAATCCAGCTTAGTTCTTCCCTGATTGCTTTCAGACAGTTTTGGACATTTATTGAATAAAAAAATTTCAAATCCGCATCTTTAAACAGCGTCGTTTTAAATCGAATCCCTGTCCGAAGCCACGTTCGTACATATTTCGTATGCAACAAGACACATACGTTCTCACACTGACACAAGACAATTCTCTACTACAAAGAGTCCGTTCTATGTTCTACACTAACATATTCAAAGGCCGTATCGAAAAAACCATCTCCATTAGTCCATCATATTGCCGTGTTTTCGCGATATCGTGCGACTCAAACCCACTTTCCGATACCTGAAAAACCCGAGAAAGAAAATCACTCAGAATGTGAATGAAATCACGGTATTCAATGCAAGTTGTTTGGTAACATGCATGTTTCAGAACATGAGAGTTACTAAAGTGTTCATAGATTTTAGCAAAACCGTGTTCATGCAAAACCGAATCGAAACGAAGAAGATTCTTCTCCGATAAGAACGAAAAAGAGAAAGCAGAAAAGGGTTTTGAATGGCTAGAGGACATAGTGAACGTTAGAAGAGCAGCAAACGAGTGAGTTGGATACTTTGGGAGTTACTCTCAATGTACTTCCAAATAGCAATAACTGCAGAGAGAAGGTTTCATTCAATGTTCTCAGACGAAGAAAAAAACAGAATGAACGATTTACCGGAAAAGGGTAACCGCCGATTTCAACGAGCTGGTGCGGAATCGATCTCTGGACCATTCCCATGTCTTACATTTGCTTACCCGTGATAACAATCCATTTGTGTAAAACTTAGACATCGCGAATATGAATTGACGTAGCTTATCAGGGAAACCCTTTCTTCGATGGTAATGAAACGATCGGGATAACAAGCAAGAACCCAAGTGGGTCTTCGCAAGCAGTAATCCTCATGTCGGAACAACGTAATCGCCGCTTTACATTGAGTTTCATAGGTAGAGGCATCATGCCAGCATGCTTTGATGCCTCCATCTTTGCGTCTTCCCCCCTGTGAAGCCGAGAGATGATGCTAAACGCAAATAATCGTGTTTCATAAATCACTAACACGTAAAACAGTTTCACATATATTTATATATTTCATCCAAACAGCCAGCTATATCAAGAACGAGCGTTACAACGTGTTTGCCGTCCATTTCGAGGAAGAACGTGCACGTGTGAATCATTCACATGCATAGTCTACTATCCGGGGTAATATATTTCATCCAATGTTGACACCCATCTTCTTTCTATGCCAACCATATTTGGCAGCAAATGCTGAGCAAGAACATCTATGTGTGTGTTTAATCCGTTTGCTTGAACAAATAACAAACAGATTGCTTCTGAAAGGGGTTTCAAATTTCTTCCCTAATCATGCATGTACATTAACGCGAACATTCACGTGCAAATAATCATCTTATTGAATCGATAATTTCCAACACAAGCCTCCTAATTGTTCCAACAAAAGTAGCTCGATCATGCACGTACGTAGATCACGTAACATGTGCATGCACGTAAAACAACTACGCAAGAACGTTACGCCGTTTTGATCTGATCATTCATCAAAACATGTTTGAAACTACATGCCAGTGATCAAGATATAGAAACCAAAAAACCAAAAACAGTAAACATATTATATCGCATTTGCAAAAAAAAAAAAATCATAGGCAGATAAGTATTTGTTCAATGAATTCAAGATTTACCTAACTCAATCGATCCTAGGGTCATGGTAAGAATCCACCATTCTCGGAAGCTTTCCCAGTAACACAACTTATTATCCCGCTGGGAAAACCAGCATGGTGGAAGCAATCCTCCATGAGAAGGGCTCCTACAGAAACCTTGCATAGAAGAAGATTTAGTCGGATGAGTTCCAATTGACATGGAAGCTATAATTTCACACATGCCAAAGACTTCAGGACAAGGGAATTTCCAGCAACAAGGGCAGGCGTGATTTCAGAAACATAAATATCGACCAGATAGTTTTCAAGATTGAACAACCAAAGCAACTCCAATATGTACTTATGCAGATAAATGAAGAAATTTTGTGAGATAACAGACCGGAGTAACTTGAAGAGTTCCAAAGGGAAGGCATATATTGCTCTGTTTCAACCAAAAACAATATGACTGGTTTGTTCCTCATAGTTTCAACGATGAACGCCAAATTGGTAACCAGTGAGCTGATGGTATAAATACCTTCGGTTTCTGGACTCCTTTTATTGCCATATCACCATTTATAGATCTTTTTCTCTCTGTGAAAAGATAAGGTATGCTCTCCGGTGGAGGTAAAATGGATTCCATGTTTTATTTTCTTCAATCCAAGAAACTCACCCGCCTAATGCAAGCAGCAAAGAAGCCACTGTTCCTTAGACTCGGTAAATTATAGCAACTCTTTCGGTAGTAAATACATGCAAACTCCCAAAAGCAAACAGAAGCATCGGAATGAAGATAGAACTTCAGCTCTCAAAACATTTTCACTACTTCCATTAGTATTCAGTCACCAGAATATATAATCCTCACAAGTAGAAGATGCTAGAAATAGCAGAAAGTCCATACATCGACCCAACACCCAGTATCAAACACAAAAACATTAGATAAGCTACCTTCAAAGAGATGCATTATTTTGTCCTTTCATTTCAACGAAAGCTGTCTGAAACGAGGAACTTCCTTCCACAAGGATCCAGACTTCTTCAATGCAGTACGTGACATAATCAGCCGACCTCACAACCTGCATGAAAATTGGTCTGACAGTTAGTAGACATAGAAAACTAGGAAAAAACCGGTATGTGGCTATTGCACAACTAGTTTCCATATACAGAAAATCCAAAGTTGCATATACGGAAAACCCGACGAGATTTCAGCCACTCCATCATGCAAGCATGATCTTTTCCATAACGGGGCTTGCCCCTACGTCGTTGTGGAACTTTTCCATTTCTCTATGATATTGTTTACCTCATCCTGCACGAAAGCTATTAAAAGCCATACATTAAAATGATAACAAAGAATGGAATATCGAACCAAACTATCATAAACAGTGAAGCAAAGCCTGCTTCCTGTAACGGGAAGCAATGAGCAAACGCAGACAAGGAACATACTCAAAGAATTGAGATCTCTTTATCCAATTGCGGATAAACAAACCAAAGAAGAAGAAACCCTAGCAACTTGGAGTATCATATCATATGTCCCAATCTCTTGGCTTTCCAGATGATTTTTAACCACTTGAAATTCCCTCGAGAAAGGGTGTTTCCAAAATGGTGTATATTATACACAAATTTGAGATCCCTGGTACTTAGATCAAACAGCTGTTCATCTATACAAGAACCACCAGACCAATGAATGTACAAGACACCACTGTACAAGTAAACTGGACCTAGAACTGGAATCGGAACCTTAAATAATGAGGTTTGAATGTCCTCATTGTCTTCAAACTCGAGTAAATTTGTAAGCCCTTCAATGCTTAATGGAGATACAATGAGTCTACCAAAACCAAAAGTCTAACCTAATGATCTGAGCATCCGAACTTTCCTAAAATCCAAGCCAAAAGTGTAAATTCTTCTCGCCCACATGATAAACCAAACCAGTGATGACCCATTAAGCAAAATAACTTCAAATCGACGAGAAATTCGAAAGCAAGTTCGAATCAGCTTGAAGTGAGCGCGAAAACCGCCAGTACCTTGAACCTCTATTCTTCTTAAGGTTGTGTTAGTAACGGGGAAAACTTTCCAAGAGGAAGGTTTTCTCCACTCACCATTGAAGCAGAGCTTGAAGAACTAACTATCTTGGACTAAGATTTCTGCAAAAAAAAAAAAAAAAAAAAAGAACCG